AGTTTGTTTGAAAACATGGCAAACTTCTTTAATTAACATGTTCAAAAACATGCAAACCTACCATGTCAACTAAAGATGTTAAAAAACATGGCAAAATTGCCGTGGCAACCTGTGATGTTCAAAATCGTGGCAAAGTTATAGATGTTTAAAAACATGGCAAATTGCCATGGCAATTTAAGATGTCAAAATTTTTTGTTCAAAACTTGCGACGGCAAAAAGTTTTGGTCCTTTGAAATTTGTTTTGGCATGAAGATTACATGTACGATGTGATTACAACTTAAGATGTTTTCTCCATTTTTTTCCAGATTTTTCTATCTGTCTAGAGAGAACATTTTCACCATATCTTTTTTGCATATGTTGGCATGATGGCAACTTTCATAGTGTAAACTTCACTTTTTTTGCCATCTTGTATCCATGTTGTATCTATATATATGTAAACTTCATGGCAACTTTTTCGTATTTCGTAAACTTCATAGTGATGGCAATTTTTCATAGTTTAAAGATGCATATTGCCATGACTTCTTCCTTGTTTGAGCCATTTTGAAAAAATAAACTTGAACATGGCAAAAAAGAAACATAGAATGGCAAAAGACCATGGCAATTTTGTTGTGCAAAAGACCATTGTTTAGTAGTCAGAAAAAACTGGGCTTCACTAATCACAACTCAATACAGGCTTTATTTTTCCTTTTTTCATAGGGAAAAGGCCTATAGGGCCCAGTGGATGGGGTGTTTGCGCCGAGGCACTTCTCCTCCCAAACGAGTCGTTCGATTGATGCCCCACCCATACCAAACTAAATGTTTGATGGGGTCCTCCTAGACCAAACGTTCGGTCCGTATCGACATCCAAAGGAAAAGGGGCAGGGATCGAAGCCTGCTAGCCACTACACCCATGTCCAGTTCATGATAACTAGTCAGGCCAGACATACTTGATGCGAAAGGAGGCGGTTTCCACTAGTTTTTTTCTCTTTTCTTTTTTCACTCGGTTTTCTTCGTTTTCCCTTTGGTTTTAGTCGTATTTCTCTTTACTTTCTCTTTTTGTTATTTTCTCCAGTTTTCTTTATTTCTTTCTTGGTTTTCACTGCCTTTTCTTTTCTTTCCCTTTTCTTCAGTTTTTTTCTCATTTTTCAACAATTTGTTTTTTTACTCTCGGGTTTCATTATTGTTCTACATATCTAAATCTAATACATTTTTCTAACACACGTCTAACCATCTTTAAATGCTTATTAATATTTTTATAAATGTTTGATTAACATTTTTAATAGCAAATTAATATTTTTAAATACATGGTCAACATTTTTCTATACATATTTAATTTTTTATTTTTCAAATGCTTTATTAACATATTTAAAATACAAGTTTAACATTTTTCGATTACATGGTCAACATTTTTCTTATACACATTTAAAATTTTTTAAATACAACATAATCATTTTTTGAAATACATGGTCAACATATTATTATGCACATTTAACATTGAATACATTGTCAACATTTCACTATACAAATTTAACATTTTTTAAATACAAATTTATGATTTTTCTAATATAAATTTAACATTTTTAATACATGGTCAACATTTTTACTATTCACATTTAACATTTCTCAAAGAAAAGTTTAGCATTTTTTAACACATGGTCAACATTTTTACTATACAAATTTTACATTTTTCAAATACAATTGTAACACTTTTAGAATACATGGTCAACATTTTTTCTATACACATTTAATATATTAAAAATACAAATTTAACATCTAATTAATACATGGTCAAGATTTTTACTATACACATTTAACATTTTCAAATACAAGTTTAACATTTTTAATAGACGGTCAACATTTATTCTATACACATTTAACATTTTCTCAAAATAGAAATTTAATATTTCGTAATGCATGGTCAACCTTTTTACTATACACATTTAACATTTTTCAAATACAAATTTAACACTTTTTCAATACATGGTCAACATTATTTATATACACATATAATATTTTTCAAATAAAAATTTAACATTTTTTTAATACATCGTCAAAATTTCTACTGTACACATTTAACATTTTTCAAATACAAGTTTTAATATTTTTGTAATACATGTTCCAAAAAAAATTCTATCGACATTTAACATTTCAAATACAAGTTTCATTTTTTTCCAATAAAAATTTAATGAGTTTGTCGTGAAATCTAATGGGTTTCCATCTAACCTACCCCAATTTGTTTGGGACTAAAGACTTTGTCATTTTAGTTGTAGACATTTAATATTTCAAGTAGAAGTTTAATACTTTTTAACACATGGTCAACATTTTACTACACACATTTAACATTTTTAAAATAAAGTTTTTACTATTTTTTATTATATGGCCAACATTTTTCTCTATACACATTAAACATTTTTCAAATACAAATTTACCATTTTCTTAATAAATGGTCAACGTTTTTTCTATACACATTTAACATTTTAAAATTTAAGTTTAACATTTTTTAATACATGATCAACACATTTTCTGTGCACATTTAACGTATTTTAAATGTTTGATTAACATTTTCATATACTTGCTTAATTTTGTTCAAATGCTTGATTATCATTTTTTAGTTCATGATCAACTTTTGTAAACATTGTATATATTTTCTTTGCGGGGAACATTGTGTATCTTTTGTATACATTTTTCATACATATGGTCAACACTTTTTTCTATTCACTTTTAATATTCTTCAAATGCATGATTAACATTTTTCAAAGTATTATGTAAAATACATTTTCGAAAGTGTAAACAAATGTAAAAAATAAATAAAAAATGAAACAAGAAACGTGAGAGGAAAAAAACCTAGGCTGTGCCCTCCAGTTCACCAGGGCCAGCCCATCTGGAGCTGTCCTGACACGACGGTTTCCCTGGGTCTTGCTTAAAGCGATACATAGGGCGCCGTTCTCGGGCCAGCTTAGGAGCTATGTCTTGCCCGCAACAAGATATTATGGACTGGCCCAAAACTATGGCTTCTGTAGTGATTTTGATAAATTTCTATGGACAGGTTTGGACCGGTTTTAGAATCTTCGTGTGGTCTTTCTTTCTCTTTGTTTATATGTGTTTTTATCAATATTCTCCATTTTTGTTCTTGTTTAATTGATTCATTTATTTTTTATTTTTAAAAATAGATATCGACTTTTTAATACACGATGTACATTTTTTTCATACATGTGGAACAATTTATCGATACACATTGAACATTTTTCAAATACATGATGAATATATTTTGAAATACATGTTTGAACATTTTTTTCGAATACATGTTGAACATTTTTTCAATGGTAGTACGAAAATTTTCTAATATCACTTGAATATTCTTTTACATTGTAAAAAAATGTCACAAAAATATTTCTGAAATGCGTGGCATTTTTAGAAAGTGTACGACAGATTGTTTTAAATTATGCGAGTATTTGTTTACAATGTATAAACATTTTCTCCAAATATCTCCAGTTGTTTTTCTAAATTTCTGATATTTTGGAAATGTCACGGACATTTTTTTGAATGGTATAAGCATTTTTGAAAAGTTCAAACATTTTTTAATAATGCATTAACATTTTCTAAATGGGCGGTGAATTTTTAAGGAGAGACGCACAAGACAGGGGCTCACCCAAGGCAGACCCACCGTCTACCGGAAGTGGATTTTGAATCACCGCACGATTCGAGATATGAGAGATTGCCACCACCGGTGATGCCACATCCGTTACCATCATCGTGTGGACGAGGGCCATTGGCGCTGTGATCCTCGGTTGAGAGAGGCGCTGTTAATTCTACCGGTTTTGCTATTTCTCGGGTACCTGAAATTTTATGTTGCGTCAGTCACTTTTATATTCTTCCTCTTCTTCCTTCCTCCTTCTTCCCAGCCTTGCCGGAGAAGATCAAGCCCACTATCTATCTTAGGGGAAGCCATGGCCTCACTATCTATATTAGTAGAAAGTCACAACCCCATTATCTATCTTACAGGTGGGCGGCGGGGGTGAAGGGGATTGCCAGAGTTTCACCGATGGTGCGGGGCTTAGAGAGATGGTCGGAGAGGTGGCCAGTAACGGCGGTAGGGAGGTTGAGGGGTGGGCGGCCGACGAAGTGGTTCGCGGCAATGCCCGTCGGCCGCGGGGTGGTGAAGGCAGGCGGATCGGCAGGGTAGGGCTGCAGGGGAGAGGAGCTGCCGTGCGGGAGGAAGAAGATGATCATGTCGCGGCATGATTGAGCCAGTTGGATATTGATCCGGTGGTCATGAAAGAAAGTGACTGATGGAAACGTTTTTTTAGACACCTATTAAATAGACGGTCCCTAATTCTACTCCCCACGAAAAAAGCAATATTCTTGGAGCATCTTCAACAAGTGTAAGATACGTGTTGATAAATTTGTTAGCTAGGACATATGAAAGATGTGGCGTTAAATAACCAAGGAGAGAGAAGAAAGTTGTACTCCCTTTGTCTGGGTGTATTAAATCACTTCTTATTTTGGGCTAATGTTTGATCATAGATTTAACGAATAAAATGTAAACTATATGTCACAACAAATAGACTGTGTGAAACCTCTTTTGTAGCACATTGGAGGTGCCCTCATGAAACTTTTGGGAAGGAATTTGCGCACGTGTTTCAGCTTCCAAGGAGCAGATTCCGTTTACCAGAGAAGAGCGCAAGCAGCACATACTTCCGCACATAACTGTATCTGTATGTAATTGCAAGGTGAGCAAAATCATTTCGCTTACAACCTGTAGAAGTAGAACAGAGCACACTCGAAAGACAACAAATACCGGCAAATAAATTTTATTAGCTATACGCCACAATACGCATGGCTGATGGCCCTACTGGCAACGCTCACTCAACTTGGATGTGTCATGATCCGTATATATAGTAGTATCACGCACCATACACGTACGACAGCTTGGAACAATCTTTCTTTCTTTTTGCTTTCGAAGGTAAATAAACTATATAATATGTTGTCTGGGCTCCGTTCCCTGTCTGGGTGCGGCCTCCTCACCATCGCAGCTTCCCCGGGAAGTACTGGGAAAATTCAGACAGGAAGCATAGCGTCAGATACTTTGTCGATCACAGGACTCTGAAGAGAGATGTCAGTGAGTGCAGTGAAACAAGATCACTATTATTACCTTGTCGATGAGCGACATGTAGTAGGGCTTCACTTCCTCGACGTCGATCCTGACGCTGCTCTTGCTGTACAGGTCATACTTGCTGCAAGAACGATGAACAAAGGAGCGTGCTCAGCTCCTGCATTTCTCCCATCATTTGAATATACTCCATTTCATTTCTGTAGATCGGCTTACTTGAAGACGTGCAGCCATTTGAGGTTCTCCTTGTCCTCCTCGTTCATCAGGTGCATGTAGGCTCCATGCTTGTGCAGGGCTGAATCGTTCGTGCATACCAAAACATTTGCAAGGTTTTAGTTGCTTTGAAACTCAAAACTTCTACCCTGGCAGGCAGGAAGAAAGTAATCGAAGCCATTGCGGCGCGCGCTTACGGTAGAAGGAGTGGTATCTGATGATGAACAGCCCTGCGGAAGGAAGGGTGGTCTTGTTCTCCTTGGCAACCTGAAGACGGGCATCGCGAAAACACTTCAAGAACTTCATCGTTTGGCGACGAACGAGGGCGCCACGGCGAAGGCGAGAAGCGAGGGAGGGCGTACCAGGCACATGTAGTCGTCATGGCCCCATGACATGAGCACGTTGTCCAGCCCGCACCCCTCGGAGTAGACCCCGAACTTGGTGTTGAACTCCGGGTTGTGGTAGTCAGGGTTCTCCTTGAAGTACTGCACGCATCGCAGGGACAGAGGCAGAGTCAGAGTCAGAGAGCAAGCAAAGCTTCAGCCTTCGATCGGCTCATAGGCGTCCAAGTGCTTACCTTGAAGTGGACGTTGCATTCGTCGAACGCGCAGCCGACGGGGAAGGTGTCACCTGAAGAAAGACGCCATGAAGCTCGTCAGAGATTCGGAGCTGAATTTGGGACAGGCTCTGGAGAGGTTTGAGGTTTTGCCGATTGATTTACCTACGACTGCCCACTGAGGAAGCTCCCCGAAGCTGGGATGCAGCAGCACCTTGCCCAGATCTGCACACCGTGGCAACTCACGTGAGAAAAAAAGAACCGTATGCGGGGCCGGTCTGTCCGTCGGTGGACCCTAAGTACTCCCTCCGTTCCACAATGTAAGACCTTTTTTGACACCACACCACTGGTGTCAAAAAAATGTCTTACATTATGGAACGGAGTGAGTAGTTAAGATTGTAAAAAAAACGACTATGGAACCTTGTAACACATTATTCTCTCTTTCACTTATTGCAATCCTAGCTAGTTAGACCTTAGGTAGTTAAGATTGTAGAAAAAAAAGATTCACGATTCTGAAAGAATCTGAGGAGGGATCTGATTCTCAAGATTCTGAGAGGATCGGCAAAAGAGTTACTAATGGACGAGATAAATCTTTTGCCTCTGTTTTAGAAAAAAAGAAGGCTACACATGTAAAAGTTAGTTAAGTTACCATGGATGAGGCCAGTGAGGTGGAGCCAGTCCTCATCGGGGTAGTCCTTGCGGATGGCCTCGGCGGTCTGGAGGAGGTGCTCGATCTGCGGCATGTCCAGGTCAGGGTCGCTGTCGTCGATGAACTCGTTGAGAAGCTCGATGCACTCCCAGATGCTCATCTCCGTCTTGTCCAGCCGCCCGTATGCGTCCCGCATCCGCTGCACAAACTCGTACGTCTGGTTGATGTGGTTCACGCGGTAGAACTCCTCCACAGTCTTCTTCCGCTCCGACTCCGCGTCGTAGTCCCTGGACGCATGTATCAATTTCCACTTCAGTATTGTTCGTTTGTGGTACATACCACTTCTATATCACGTCTTATATTTAGGAACAGGGGTTGTAGTAGTTATCAATCTGATACGCGGAAAGGTTTGATAAGCATGTGGCACGGAGTGCGTGTGGGGACAATGCCCTGCCATGCGAGCTCTGCTTATCGCGGAAAGAAAGAAAACGGAAGGCTTTGAAAGCTGAGATCCAGAAAAATGTTTTTGATGGACAATTTTAGTCAATTTCCTAGCATATCCCGTGGGAGTTCCTTGCCGAGTTTTATTTATTTATATATTGCGAAAAATGATAAGATTCTTGCCCAGCTTAAGTTCTGCTACTCCAATTTTAGTCAATTTCCCTAGCAGGAGGACAGCGTGTTATTAGTTTCAGCTCCTTCTAGGAGGTTCTTCCCAATACCGTTATGGATAGCATTCTTGTCTATCTTAGGGTGTGGGGGGCGGGAACTAGGGGGGTGCAAGGGAAGCAACAACCTCCTTGTCTATCTTAGGGGTGCTGCGGGGGTGCAGGTTCATCGGAAAATCTCACGTGGTTTGCCTGTTTAGAGGGATGCTCGGAGGCGAAGGCAAGCATGACGGTGGGGAGAGGTTGAGGGGAGGACGGGGCGTCGAGGTTGCCGCTGGAGCGCCGCCGGCCGCGGGTGGCGGCAGCAGGCGGCCCTGCCGGTGGCAGCAGGCGGCGGGAGGAAGGAGAATACGGGACAGAACACATCTGTTCGGGAGAGAATTGTTGGAGAAAGAAGACATAATCTGGTGCGCTGGTTTTTGATCTAAGGCTTCAGAAATTTCAGCCGACTCCCTTTGTTTTGTCCTTTCTCGTGGGACGCAAACAAAATTTCAACAGGAGGAACATGGTTCACCCCTTAAAAGGTGCAAATGTATGTACATCTGACTTGAATTGATATTATTTTTTTTCAACCAAAGAACCATGGGAGCTCGAGGAAAGAAAACCCATGAGAACTCACCTGAAGGTGTGGCCGAAGGCGTTGGAGTCCGGTACGGTGAAGCCGCCGTCGAGCACGAGCTCCGCCGGGTCGCCGGCGACCTTCCTCTCCGCCGCCGCATCTGCAACCGGCCAACAGAAATTCGAACCAAATTATCAGCATCATGCCGCCTGTCCCACAGCGCGCTGTTTGCGCACTCAACCTCCGAGAAACATGAACAGAAACTCAACAAGAACAGGCGAGGGAATTATTAAAGAAGCACGCACGCAAATGAGATGGGTAAGAAGAGTCTCACCGAACTGAGGCTGCTCGATGATGATGGTCATCTTGAACCGGGAAAAGATTGCCGACCGGAGCTCGCAGCAGCAGCGAGGGCGGCAGGGAAGCACGGTCCGAGAAGACGGTAATAGATGGGGTATGCTCGGCTCTGCTCTGCAGGAGGCAAATCGCGAGCGGTATTTATAGGAGGGCCGAGGGGAGGAGGGCTTGTTGGGGTGGGAGATGGTAGCGGGGGCGGAGGGGGATGGAGGAGCCGAAGGGTAAAACGTGACGGGGTGTTGATGGCGCTATCCTGCGGATTTTGGATTTATTAAAGGGGGTCGGTGACTCAGCCATGGCGTGGAGCTCCGCCTGTGGATGACAGCAACATCTCATGTCGTCTGTTTTCCTCCTTTTTGCTAGGGCCTGTTTTCATTTCCTTCCTCGTCCGGTTTCCGCTCCGTTATTAATATCTTTTATTTATTACACCCTATATATACATTTTAGGTGCTTCCCAGTGCTTCATGATGGACAAGTGTTAAGTATGCCACATAAGCAAAAAAATGACATGGCACAACATTTAATGAGGGGAGAGAGTATTTTGATGACCCAGAAAGAATCAATGCCAAGCGCGAGAACCTATGCTAACCACTTAAATGAAACAACTTGACCAATGCATGAAAGACTTTAGGTGCTAACTCATTAAATAAAGTGTGCTTAGCAACAAGTTAAGCACCTATGCATTGAGGAGATGAGTTGCTAATGTATTTAATGCACTTAGCACTTCATCTAAGACCTCTCCCAATACTCCCTCCTTTCCGGTTTATAGGACTTATCTCAAAATTTTAGTTTTTCCATTTTATAAGGCTCAATTTGATTGTTCCTCATCACATGTTCAGACTTCAAGGTGCATTAAATCATTGCATGCAAGTATTAAGAGAAAACTGACCAATGCATGCACTTTATGCATGCATGCATTGCAATTAATGCATTCGTAAACATATTTTTTTAGGAAAACAAGAGCATTAATTGGGTGCTTTTGCAAACTACAAAAAATATTTCACCACTCATCATCTACCTTGGTTGGTGAGATTTTTGAATTGAGCCTTATAAACCGAAAATGATGGAGTAGATAGTTGCTTAGATGAGGTGCTAAGCACATTAAATAGTTTAGCAACCATAGTCCCCAATGGTGCTTAAGTTGTTGTTGCTAAGCTCCTTTCATTTAATGACTAAGCTACTACTAAACTCTCTCATGCATTTGTGAGCTTGCTTCATTTAAATGTTTGACCTAGGTTTGCGCGCTTGGTATTGGTTCTTTGTGGGATCACCAAACTCATCTCTTTCCTCTTAATTGTCTCGCCACATCAGATTTTTTGTCTACATGGCAGGCTTAGCACCTGTACAAGTTGGAGCTGGGAAGGGCCTAAGCACCTTTGCATTGGAAGAGGGTTTATAGAGGGAGTATTCTTGTTCCAGAGATATTAAACTGGCTGCTTATGACCTCTTCCTCTAACGAGAATGAAAAAGAAGAAAAAGAAAAACTTAAGGCCACTTTAGCTCAATTGATTTTATCAGAAAATAGAGGGTTGAGATCTTATGAATTTTTTATATGTGAGTTGTTTGATTCATATGACAAAGTACTGGATGGTTTTCCTAAGTAACGTTTTGAAACTCAAAGGGCAAGACCTAATGCTTATGCGTACGCTTAAAGAAAGTGCTCATTCACTCCAACCTATTTGGAGACAGTCTTTGTTTTTGCTATGGTGCATTCACACATATTTCGGTACAAATTAAATCATGTACTATTCAACTGGGCATGAAATTACAATCATGTGCCCCCCTCCCCCTCCATTTTAAAAGTCTACGAATGAAGGAAGACTTTATCTTTATGTTTTATAGAACAAACAGGTTTTTACGAATCCAAAATGATTGGCATTAGGTGCCATTTTCTCAATGGAGATTAAGGAGGAAGGAGGGTACCACCCACGTGAAATTCACACGGGGGGGGGGGAGGTTATTAGTATGGGGGGTTCCGTATTACCTCTGTTAGTATCCATTTGTGCATTTAAGATTCCCCTTCACCACCCCCTCCCCCCTCGAGAGACGGGCGACGGGACTTTGCCAGAGGCAGGAGCGGCGGTGGTCTCACTTAGAGATCACTTCTCCCCATACTTCGCTATCTCCTCGTCGAGGCGGCGGAGATGGCGCGTGCCCATCTCGACCGTGGTCGTCGACTGGTCGATGATCCAGGCTGTTGCGAGCTCTCGGTCCTTGAGGATCTGCCACGGCGGGACGTCGGAGTCCGCGAACTCCTCCAGGCTCACAGCGTTCGGCCTGTTCCGCCTTTGCCGCTCCCTATCTGCACTCTCCTCCGCCGTCAAGGCGCCCTGAGAATTTGGATTTGTTAAGTGGGTCAGTGACTCGGCCATGGGGTGGGGCTATACCTGTGGATGATAGGAACAACTCATGTCGTCTGTTTTCTTCCTTTTTCCTAGGGTATATTTTCATTTCCTTTCTGCCTAGAATTCGCTTCGTTATTTGTAATATAGAAGAAAAAGAAAAACTTAAGGCCACTTTAATTCAACCGATTTTATCAGAAAATAGAGGGTTGAGATCTTATGAATTTTTTATATGTGAGATGTTTGGTTCATATGACAAAATACTGGATGGTTTTCCTAAATAACATTGTGAAACTGGAAGGGCAAGAACTAATGCTTATGCATACGCTTAAAGAAAGTGCTCATTCACTCCAACCTATTGGAGACAGTCTTTTGTTTTTGGTATGGTGCATTCGGACATATTTCAGTACAAATTAAATCATGTACTATTCAAATGAGCATGAAATTACAGCCATGTGTTTCCCCCCCTCAATTTTAAAACTCTACGAATGAAGGAAGTATTTGTCTTTGTGTTTTACATTTTGGTTGGGCATAAAAAGGCGAGTAATGCTATAGTGATGGAACAGATAGGTTTTTACGGATTCATAATGGCCGGTATTAGGTGCCATTTTCTCAATGGAGATTAAGGAGGAAGGAGGGGCC